GTATAGAGAAAAAAATTTATAAAAATAATAAATTACTTACTTTTGAAAGATTTATGTGCGGTTGGCTAATATTAATTTAGCTATGCAAATGTACTGATGGCAGATTTATGTGACGCTAAGAAATGAAAGAAATAATTTTTATTTATTATACTTGTACTGATCGGCTTAAGCAATTTAAAGTGGGACCAACAGCTTTAATAAAGAACATTTGAACCTCAGGCTAAATAAACAGCGTGAAACTAGGAAAAAGAGAAGCAGATAGATAATGAGCGTGAGTTAAATATGATGAAAAGAGTAGTGTTCCACAAGTTCAAACCCTTCATTACCACAAAAATACTTATTGCTTCTTAATGGAAATACTTATGGTACAAAAAAAGTAGTTGTAGGTCAGATTTAAGCAAATGTAACTACTAACTATTACATATACGGTGGAGTTTATAATGAAATATTAAGCTTACTGCTCTCTTCAGACTTGCTTATTAGATATAAAGATTAAAATGTATTTGAAACAAGTAATCGAACTAGCATTCGAATAATGACTCATTAACACAGAATCCCATCTCTCTCAATAATGGGATCCTAGCCAGTCTTCAATAAAACGATGTTGGATACCTGAATAATATCAGTTTAAGCTTGCACGTTTTAAAGTTTTCAAACATCAACTTCAAGAAGCTTGTTCTTCAGCCTAAAAGAATTAACATTAGACCAAACCCCGATGACTGTCTCAACCTCTATTCTCTCAATTTTGGAATCCTTAGCAGCCCAATCCAATATAATGAAGCCAGTTATCATATAATAGCAATTTCAGTTTACTCCTTTAAACCTCCTTTAACCTTCAACGTTTGGCTCCCTTGCGATACAGAAGAATGCCGGGTATTACAAGTCCGAGAACTAAGGCTCTCCCGAGGTCAACATAAAAAATTGTCCACTTTTAAAAAACAGGAAATATCTTTATATGAGCATCTATATAACTATGTGTAGTTAATATGGGGCTCTCTTGAAGGCATATATTTATGATCCCATTATAAAGACCCACCTTATTTTATATAAAGAAATTTAAGTTTAAAGGGAAGAAGAATTCAACACAGTCGTAACACAGTATTTGTTTGAGTGTTTTTATTCCAACTTGTTCCTAGAATAGTAGATTCCGAAAGTTGTCTGAAATCATCTAGCGAAATCCCAACCGAGCGAACTGAGATAGTTAAATGGATTAATCGACAGAGAACAACGATTATTTATAATAGTTATTGCTGAACTTGCTTCGCGAAGATTCCAATTTGATAACCGAATATTACGTGTAGGGAAATCACGTCATTTGTGGTGTCAGGCTGTAGTAATCAAATGGATCGATAGATACAGAAGAACATCATCGGCCAAGTGATTCGGGAGCTACTATCGTCTATCACTATTTTTGTTATTACAGAGTTCCAATTGGCTTCTAGAATCTCAAATGTTTCAGAACAAATATAGTGCAATCCCTTTAATTTTTGGAGATCCGCTGAAAACATCAAATGTATTACCATTCATCATTTGATTGGTCAGTTGTCATTGTTTTTGGTTTCGTAAATACTAACTTGCTTTTAGAATCTCTAGTGCCTGATCGAATATCTACTGAAATTTTAGTATATTTTGAGGGTAAGTTAAATGGAACGATCGATGTTGTAGAAGTTCATCGGTCACGCTTCACCGTTGTGCTTTCTAGTAGAGTCCTACTTGAAATCTTCCTCAGTTTAACCACAAATATTAATGATCAAGTGATGATGGAATCAAGTTGTAATCCAAACAGGCTAACTAATATTTAATCGAACATATGGTGGAACCGTGCTTTCGTTGTCGATTCATCGGAAGAAAGTTGCCAGTTATGGTAGTTGTAAGTCTGTAGATACTCTTCCAGGACCTATGTAATAAGCTCGCGGTTTTTGTTTTGTCATATCTTGGCCATATCTATATATGAGCTATTTATTCATATTCTGCCACTTATTCGTCTAGAGAGGTTCCTGACTTAACCAACTCGTCTACTTTTTCGTTGACGAAGATGTTTCTGTGATCGGGAACCCAAATTATGGACAAGTGAAGTTGCTAGCTGGGTTTGGTAGATAGAAAGTTAGAGAAATATCAAGATCCTCGGCTTGTGGACCCGTACTTACACCGCAGTCCGTTCTGGACACGTCGATATAAATTGAGATATTTTCATCCTCGCCTACTAAACCTCTTCTCCATTTACGTCTAGAGGGTATTCTCACCTGACAGTAACTCCTGGAAGTAACTATTCAAAACCAACTTTGAAACGATATAGTCTGATTTATTTAGTATTTTTTTATTAGTATCGAGCTGGTTCAGAATTTCGCTACGACAAAACCTCTAACCTCTAAAGTCATTTCAGTTATGTCTTATGCCATCACTTGCAACACATATTTTACAAAACATACCTAGGTACTCTCTTTTTCCTGTTGATGTACTTGTAATTCACAGCAGGCGTCGAAATGTGCAATTTCAAGTATAATTTAATAGCAAAAATTCAATTCAAACACCCAAACCATCAACTTCTCCAACGCATATACTCATGTATGGCAAATAATGCAAGCATTGTAAGGTATACAGCGGATTATTGCAATAAACATAATTATAAGCGCTGCATATGATTTTTCAATTACACCACCATATCTCACGCTGTACGCTTTTTGGCAACAACAATGACGCTGACAGCGGCTAGAGTAAATCAAAATTGTGGGCGTAATGTGCGCGGGCATTATTACCCCCCAACCACTGTGGCAGACACAACAATTATTTGTATGCATAAGCAATGCAGTGCCATTAAAAGTGCAACACTGCGCGCAGAAGGGTTGCCAAACTGGCTCGCAATTGTGGGAGCATGAGTATGGCAATGCTATTACGAAACGCAGAGCTACGTGGTAATGCAAATGCGTAATGATAATTAAGTGGTTGCGCCCCACGGCTGGACTGAGTGGTGATTATCTGCTGCCACTGAAGTGGATATCCATATCAATGGCTTGTAAAGGCGCGCCACCATTTTCGGTGTGGCAAAAATTTTAATAGATATTTGCATTTGTTTGGGCATGTCGTTGTCATTAAAATTTATCCATATTGTTGGGACTGCGGTGTGGGCGCAATATTTTATTGAAAGCCGATTTTGCACATATTGCACGCGACACTTGCAATTAGAAGAGGTGTTGAAGCGAAATGCTTGGAGTGTAAGCTCGATTTGAGTGTTGTCATTTAAGTGCTCAGAATTGCAGTGGCAGTTTTGCTATTGATACTTATTTGTGTTGGAGTGAGAGAGCGAGGGAGAGAGAAGGCTGCAGGCAATTGAATGTTGAAATATATTTCTAATGCAACTGAGTCAGGAAATATTCGTAATTGGCAAATAGGTAGATAGTAGGTAGGGAACTAAGATATACTTCGACATAAGAAGTAAAGAATTTCTAGAAATTTCTAAAGTCTAAACGAGCCGCTATGAATCATTAAGCTTGTTACAGATAAATAAAGTCATAAAACGATATAGAGTTCTGACTTGCTCAGAAGAGAGCGAGCTTAAACTAAAAAAATTCTGCTAAATCCTCACTAGTAGGAACTTGAAAAGCTAAATCCAAATCACTTCAGTATTTTATAACTACAGGGCGAGACATTGCTGAATTAATATTAAGTCTAAACTAGCCGTTATTTCTCATTAAGCTTGCTCGCTGAACAATAATAATAAAGTTATAAAACGATATAGAGTTCTAAATTGATCGGAAAGGTAAGAGCTAACAACAAACACTTTTCCTAGTTCGAAATACAAAGTAGCAAACAAAAATGGACGACCCACGAAATAAATACATGCCATTTTCATTACTAAAAATTAAAAGCTCTGTGCTATTGGATATATCTTAAACTTTTTGGACCTTCTATATGTCTCATAAATAGATCATTACAAACTTCCGGCTCATTCTGAGTCTATTTTCAAATATTATTAAAAGAACCCACTTAAACCGGAGGTGTTTTAAAACCACTAATCTCCATTATCGAAAGCCTTCTCATAAATTTTTTTTTCCAATTGGAAGCGCTGTCAATACCAAAATCCTGCTCAAAAATGTCTGTAAACCTGTAGAAACCACTTAACTTCGCAGAATGGATCAATATTGAACTTCTGAATTTATTTCCACTGTCAAAAGTATTCTCAGTAGACCCTCTTTCAATCGGCGGTAGCTTAAAATCTGTAGCACCTTCTATACATCGTAAACTTAAGCAATTAGAAACTTTCTAACGTATTTCCACTATCAAAAGCCTTCGCAATACAGCTTCTGCTAATTGGAGACTAGGAAAATATATAGAAGTCAAAGAGTGTATGGTATTTTCACTGTTAGAAGCCTTCTCATAGGATCTCTCTGCCAACCGAAGACCTTTTAAAGTAAGAACACTATAGGAACCTTCGTATACGGCTCTTACTTAATTAAGTCTCTTAATTAAACAACTATAAACTAGGTAAATATAAATCTCGGAGTGAATTTCCACTACTAAAATCCACTATTAATATCTTTCTGCAAAACGGAAGAGGCTTAAGGCTTCGTAGATCCTCTAAACGACAGATAAGTATAAGATACACTTCAAAAAAGAAGAAGAGAAGGTCGATCTAACATGTAACGAATGTGTAAACGCCCATTATGTATACATATATGGCTTGACCAGATAATTGCATTAAGTAAAAATAGATCCATAAACACAGAAACGATTAGTCGAAGCAACGACGCTTCGAATACCTATACCGGAAGATAGTTAGGACCTAGTTGTATAAACAAAGAGAAAATCTGGGAAAGAAAATGTGTGTATAACCCTGGAACTTTCCGGGCAAATCGATACTAACCGTCCAAAATAAATATAAATACATAGTAAAGCCGTGCTTAAAAAAGCATAAATTTTTCGGGTCCTATGAACTATATGAACTGCCACAAGGTTAATGCTTACACAATCTAATCATCGTATAATTATATAAATTCAATTAGAAATCGTTGGATAACTATCGACAAGCCAACATGTTTCAACATACATGAAATTCGCGTGTTCAACAGCAACAAGAACAACATACACCGTGACAAGGTTTTGATTCTGCTATAAAGCACCGCGGCAAAGCTACTCTTCCAGTTTTTAAACGAATTTCGAGTAAACCCCGCAAAAATGGATTATCGCTTGCGGTTCGCACTCTTCTACCCAATCGTAGTAATATATTTACAGTTGCAGGCGGCAAATGCCAATGACCGCAATATTGAGCTGAATTCCTTTCAACCGATGTCGGAGTACGACGACACCTGGGTGGGTTGGGATACTTTGCGCTTGAAAAAAAAATCGCGCAAGGAATTGGGCATGACTGGCGATGTAAAGATCAACCAGAATTTGGGCAACGAGCAGCAGGTGCGATAACGTTTTTTTACATTTTGAAAATTATTATAAAATTTTAATGTTTCAGGTTTCGCTGCATATTTACAAATACGATCGTGAGAGTAAACGACGCGGCCCGATTGTGTTTCAAACGCAAAAACCTTTCTGTAAACTAGCGGAGTCACTCGAGAGCACATATGATGGCATGGTAAAAGCATCAAATTTACCGGAAAAGTTCGAGTGTCCATTTCCTAAGGTAAATTGTCGTGATTATTTATGATTATTATAACAGTAAATATATATTTGCCACTTCAATTTGAACGAAAACGCAGTTACTTCATACAAGAAAAAGAATAAAAGTGGAAATCAGAGAGAGAGATAGAGAGCGGAAAGAGAGAAATACTTTCTTATTTAAAGTTCTAACTCGTTCTTATTAGTGGCTATTTTTTTAATGTTTCTGTTTTCCATCGCTTTGTTACAGAACACCTACACCTACAAGGATTATATACTCGATACCGATATCCTTGTGAAGGACGTGCCGAATGGCGATTATTTGATTGTGGCAGTTTTGAAAAATAACGGAAAGGCTGTTAGTGGAATCGAAGTGGATGTGACAGTTTCGAATTAAAGCATTAATTGCCGCGAAAATGTTTTTTATTTCACAAATATTATTTTATTAGAAATAATAATTATATGCTAACTAATTTTTGACGTTTTCATACATATACATATATATTGAGTACAACTATGTATTTCTGCTGCTGAACTACTTAACGACCTTTATAGATAAGAATATTGTGAAATACAAATAAAACATGTACTAAATGGAATGTCTTTTATATTATTGAATATATGCTATGATTATACATATTTGATATTATCCTACAATTAATCACTATATTTTTTCTGATAATTCCGTTAGCTCGAGTATATTATTAAATCTGAACGCTCATTGTAAGGAACACTTTTTTATTTGACGAGATATCTTCACAAAATTTGGCACGGATTATTTTTCCGATCACCGATACAAACTCTGAACAAATTGCTTAGATCGGACTACTATAGCATATACGAACTGACCGCTGAAAATCAACTTCTATGGAAACTAATTTATCTGTGAAAGGTATTACTATAGAATGGAAGTTAAAGTGAATTTTATTTGGCGTTAAAAATTAGCTATATGATTTTACTACAGATTTTTTAAATTGCACATAAGCACACACATATGGTACACATACATATTTTCATATGCAAATACGATTTTTTTGTATTTATCCTTTCTCTTTGAATTTACAGCTATTCAAAGTATGTATTTCCCTTGCTAATTTTGCTCTTTCAATGCGTTTATTTAACGTTTATTGTCCGTTGTTATTTGTTATGGCTATATAAATATGTCTATAAGTATGTATTTATTTATATATTTTATATTTTTTATTTCTTTGTCATTATTTACAGTTCATAGAAATCCAATTAATTTTCATTCAGTCCGACATTTTAATAGCCACTTGACATTTTCCATTGGATCGCCGCGTTATACACACAATGAACACCTGGATATGTACATATGTACTCATATATGAAAAAATCAGCAATTAAACACCAAACAACCACAAAAAAGTTCGCATTTTTTTAAAAAAATGCAATGATTTTTGTGCTCTTTCTTTTTTAGTATTTACAAGTGTGCATGTCTGACCAGAAGTGCTCGCAATGAATTGTCTATACTTTTTACCAATTTCGCGCAGCACTTCAATATGCTTGTTTATACATACTACTTATATATGTACAAATAAATTCATATTCACATATGTATACAACACAGGGGGCGTACTTGCCACCTTCACATTGCAAGTAAGTCAAAGAGCAGCAGCATTTTTACCAGCACAAATGCACATACATACATATATTATGTACATTATAAGTTGGCTTCAAAGTCGTACACTTATCCGTCAAATACTATGTTTTATTAAATGTGTCGATATTTGTTTAAAATTGACGTGTCTGCATATTTTCAGTTGCATGTATAGTTGTTAATATATATAAAACACCGAGTGTAGCTTTTTCACCAGAATTTTCCATCCGAACTAGCAGCTTCAGTTGCTCAAGGCACATCGGCATATTTACAAACATAAACACAAATAAATTATATATGTTTAAAACACGCACACTTGACTGCACATTGCATTTCTACAACTTTTTGGTTAATTATTTATTATATGTTTTAATAGTTAAATTGTTAAGCATTTCAATTTATACAAGTATCAAGTATAAATCATGTCATTAATATTTAAACGGTTCTTTCCTCTGCTGTCACCTTCCTTCTGCTTACACACAGGGTGGCGATCATTATAAAAACGATCATTCGAGTTAAGCAACAAGTTTAAACTCACATTTTAATTCTCCTCAATCATTGTATCTTTATAATTAGAACCGCCTTCTTTAAAACTTTCGTCAAAGGTTTCAAATAAAGTTACTGTAATTGATAGGTTTTTTTAATTATTTATTTATTGCTACAAAAAAGTTTTTTTTTAATAAAAAAAATATTAAAACTGCATCTGAGTCATGCTGTTTGAAAGGCATTTTAAGCGAAGAAGGTGTGAGAGCGGACATTTCAAATAGTACGGTAGACGAAACAAAACGGAACTGCTTAACGGGATCATACGTGAAAACTTTCTTATTTTTTTGGAATCCACACAATTATTTATGGAATATTTTACTTCATTCGACCATAAATTACTTATCCACATATCACACATTACAAATACAAACCAACCACAATTACTATGAGTGAAATGAGTGCGGCAGAAAATCGAGAAAATAAATATCTAATCAAACCAAAAGAAACCTCATGTATGTGCAGCAAAGCAACAATGCAGCAGCTGAGCGCAAATTCGAGTAAAGTTGCAAATACAAAGGAGATGAATGTTGCCAAAACCCTGAACTGATGCAACTCAGTGGCATGTGACCAGCCAAACTGCCATAGCCGGCGTAAGTGGCTTGTACACGCTGGTAAGTGAAAAGTTTCTGCCGACATTTTGGAGGCCATTTGTTGTATTGTATTTATGTATTTAAAACAAAAAGCATTTATTTCGAAAATACTCGCACCATCAGCAGTTGAGAGTTCTCAAGTAAACTAGTAAGAAACAAGTGTAGCGGCAAGACAATCGACCAGCCAGTCAGACAACACAAAACGACGATTGTAATGGCATTGAAAACTTGGCGCAAAACTTCATTTTCTGGAATTGTAAAATGAGTTGATAGCGCAAAATAAGTAAGATAATGAAACAGCGGGCAGAAGAAAACTTGTAAATTCAAATAACCGGATGCGATTGAGCGCTTACCCAGCAGTTGCTGTTGAAATGTAAGTAGGTGTTGTTGTAGCAGTGTGAGGATTTCAAAGCAATGGGTGTTGCCGAATAGCTGCAGTTGATGGTTCGATGAATTTATTGCACGCAAGAAAATTACAAAACTGAATTTTTGGATTTAGGTATGAGAAGAATACATATATGCCAGTATGAATGGAAGGTATGTATATATTGCCGGTAAAGTGTTAAGGTGCATCAGATAGATGTTTATGATCACAAAACAAATGTATGTATGTGCGTACCGAATACATAGATTAACTTCTATGCATATCTGTAAATATATAGAAATATTATATAAATACTTATACAACTCCATAAATTATTCAGAAATAAGATTTCAGCAAATTTGCTTAGTAGTGACGGTTAACTCGTAATTTAATTTTATTAATACCATAAAATTTACTTAATTTTAGTATTTTATAGTATAATTTTTATAGTAAATTACTACATTTATTTTCTTAAATTTATTTTCCTAATATAAGTTAATTTATTAATTTTTAATAATAAATTAATTAAAGAGTCTGCCTCTTCTCCCCTACACCGCCATTAACCACATATGTGATAAAATCTACACAACATGTCTCCTCTATACAATTTCGCATAACAAGTAGCGCCATCTATGTTTCAACTTGACGCGTAGTACTCATTTCAGTTGTAAACAAAACGCTGTCAAAACGTTAAACGCCAGCTGCGAGCCCAATCAGCTGTTTTTTGCTTCACTCAATTCGTTTACATTTTTGCTAACCTAAAATTGTTTAATGTTTTTTTAACAATAAGCGTAGTTTTGCCCGCCTTAAATTAAATTTTTTGTTTATTGCTGTGAATTTAAAGTGAACTTGTGTTGTTTCGTGTATACGCTGAAGTGTTTTAATAAAATCTGACAATGTTCAACGCCAGCACGGACACGTTGAAACTAAATCAAACCGCGATGTTTGCGAAAATACGCGCCGGTTTGCCGGTGGAGCGCCAGTACACACAAAATTTGCTCGAATGTAAGGATGATATTTTGTACGCATGGGACTCAGAAGAGTGCTGCTTATTGGCGGTGAACTGGCGTTTGGCGGCCTTGGAGGGATTCGAAGCCGTCAAATATCAGGTAAGAGTGAAATGGCATTGAATTGTATGATTGGTTTACATATGCCGGTGGGCGGCAGGGTGTATTGCATATATAATTTTAAAACTGTTGTTACCGGCAATGGTGCCTTTGATAATAAAGTATTTCATGTTCTGTATGTTCGCAGAAACAAAGTGATCAGTTCACATTGTTGTAAATTTCAATGTTTAACTTGTATTTTTGAAAATGGCATAGTTGTTGCTGTGTTGTGTGTCCTTTGCTAATTTAATATAATTTACAAGTGTTACGAATCTTTTTAAATGTAAACATATAATATAATATGAATTGATCTGTGTATACTTACAAAAACAATAACAACAAATCATTTCCTAATATATTTGTGTTTGTGGTCACTTTTTACACAAATATAAACTTCGAAATTTAATCAATGAGCTTAAATAATCTTATTCTGATAAAATATAACTTAAAAGTAACAAAGCAACTTAAATTTTTATCTTAGAGTACATCAATCGTTTTTTTTTTGAACATGTATAAATATGTTTATTTATTTCCACCGCAGATCGATTTCTGATTAATACAATTACTGATATACTTGTAGTAGTAAATTAAGCATATTTAATCTGACTAAACCTTTTTATTGACTAAACCATGACATATTGAATGCAATATTTGTTTAATAATCTTTTGAAATAGAGCTCTTAAGGTCCTAAGTAACGCACGTTACTTTAAAAGCGCATAAATACACAAATGTATAGGTATATATATTTTTAAATAATGTCCCGTATTAGTATCCGTTATATGCGGAAAGTAATCGACGGCAATTATTCAACGGCTTAAATATCAATTTTTCTCACATTTCTCGTCATTAAACTGTGCATTTTTTATACAAAAATAAAACCTTCGCCTCACGCTACCGCTACCAAAGTAAATTGGTTTGTATCACGATACTCCCTGTTGGTTTAGTATAAAAATTGATTTTTTTTTATTTTTAAACACTATTTTTGCTTCTAGCTGTCCTTGTGCAATGACAGCAAGACGCCTTATTCAATGGCATCTTCAATTTCGCGTCATTTCTTTGTCAGCGCCGCTTTGACGCCAACTCGCCAGTGACGTCAGGCACTTTGTCACACACAAAGTGGCAGCGATTCTTTTGCATTTTATTACAATTTTTCTATTTAGTATAAAAAATTCAATTTTTCCGCGCACATACAAACAAACGCGTTTACGTTCTTTTGTGTTGTTGTGGCGATGAGTATCTGCCACCCCTTCACTGCCTGCGTCCGGCATACTAACTTGCACAGCACATTTACTGCCTCATCTATTTAATACCATAAATAATTGCTTCTAATTAAATATGCTCAAATGAAAATGTCCGCTTTTTTTCTTTTTCGTT